TTTAGCCACCCACCCCCCCCCCCCCCCCACAGGGTCAACAAAATAGATACAGGTGAAACTCGACTAATTAGAATATCGTGCAAAGTTCATTTTTTTCACTAATGCAACTTAAAAGGTGAAACTAATATATGAGATAGACTCATTACATGCAAAGCAAGATAATTCAAGCTGTGATTTGTCATAATTGTGATGATTATGGCTTACAGCTCATGTAAACCCCAAATCCACAAAATTGGATTATTACATGCAATCAATAAAACAAGGATTGTACATAGAACAATATCGGACCTCTGAAAAGTACAAGCATGCATATGTACTCCGTACTTGGTTTGGGCCCCTTTTGCAGCACTTACTGCAATTACTTTTGCACGATATTCTAATTATTCGAGTTTCACCTGTATGTGAATGAAGTCTATTGTGGGCTCCATTCTGCAACTCCCCAGATTTACCAATGGGACATCCCTTACACTCTTGTAAAGAGACCTGGAGGATGATGAGACCAGATAGTGCTATGTGATGGAAACGAAGGACAAAACCTCTGCGTCAAAAGTGACATTTCACAAGTTTTATGGGCACATTGAGGTGCGCTGAAAGAAAAAAAAAGTACCGCTTGCCATACATTTTTTTTTTTTTTTGGCACAGTGGTGTGAACTGAGCCCATCTGGAAAAAGGCAAATTGCCATCTGGTGTGAACTGGTCTCTTTGCTCCCCCTCCCCGATCTACATGATCCCACTGCTGCACTGTTTGTTGACATCCAGCACTGCAAGTCTCCCTCTCCTGTCTGTGTCCATCGGCTGGGAGATGGCCCCATAGAGCGTTATGCGGCTGTAATGTGCAGTGATCAAATATTAGTGATCATGGGGGTTAACTCAAATGATAAAGAGGTGGTAGTGATGTCTATTTATTTAACTCAGGTGATAAGGGGGTTTATTAGTAATCATGGGGGTTGACTCGGGTAATATGGGGTATTGGTGATCACATGAGTCGACTCGGGGGGGGGGGGGGTAAAAGGGGGATCAGTGGTTATGGGGGTTGACTGGGGTGATCAGGAGGGTTGACTCGGGTGATGGATGGTATTAGTGACCATGGGGGTGTACTCTGGTAATGAGGGGGGGTATTTGTGATCATGGGGGTGTATTCAGATAATAAGTGGTGTATTGAGGTAATAAGTGGTGTATTTAGGTAATAAGGGGTGTATTGGTGATCATGGGGGTGTATTAGTGACCATGGGGGTGTATTCAGGTAATATGGGGGGTATTAGTGATCATGGGGGTGTATTCAGGTAATAAAGTGTGTATTGGTGATACACCTCTATACACACTCATTACTATGGGCAGCAGCCGGGTATCTTATCCGCAGGAACACATTGGCAATGTACGTCACACAGCCTTTGCAACACGCTACATTACCACAATGCACATGTATAGACATGGTAGAATTGATCATTTTTAATGGTTTATTGATCGGCTTCATATTTGTGGGTATCTCGTGTCCTCCATGAGCGGACCCAGCAACCATTGATCCTAAATATTTTCCTAATATTGTCATCACACCACCCGTTGACGTCACTCCGCCTTAGGCAGCTCATTGGCTCGCGGTGCACTGTGGGTAGGTGACATCACGCCTGTTTATCAGAATCTCCAGATTTGAGTAATCCGGACGGAAATGGGCGGGACCGACTAGCCGTTAGCTCACGTTGTCTGACGTACGCTACCTGTTGATTGACAGACTCGATGTCCAACCAACGTCGAGGCGAGCCCGGGGCCTGCCAATGACGCCGGGGGGAGTAGGAGGGTCTCTGGCGTGAAGAGGAGTGTGGGCACCCCCAGTGCCGGAGACTCGCGGAGGAAGAAGAGAAGATGGCGGCTGCTTCCAATGAGGGCATTCTGATCGGAGATAAGTTGTATTCCGGGGTGCTCATCTCTCTGGAGAACTGCCTCATCTCCGAGGAAAAATGCGCCCTCACTCCCTCAGCGATGGACGGCCTGGATAGGGACACCGAGACCGACCTGCGCAGTGTGGGTTGCGAGCTCATGCAGTCAGCCGGCATTCTCCTCAAGCTTCCTCAGGTAAGGATAGTCCGTACCGATTTTGGCTCACAGGAGGAGAAGGAGGGCCGTGGATACTCAGGCCGGGGCCGTGCGGGGGATGGGAACGAGGTTTGTGCTGAAGACTTGAGGATGAGGCCTACAGAGGGTATAAAGCCTGACCTAGAGTAGCCCGCATTCGCGAATTATAGGACATCTAATCCCAACAACAAAAAATGTCCTATTTCAGCTAAGCAGTCATTGGATGCGGTGGCCGCATTCGATTTCTAATTTCATGCTAAATTCATTTTCTGCAGTTACAGAAACACCGCCGCTGTTCCTGATATAACTTAATTGTCCCCTGAACGCCCTGTGTATTAATCCGGAATCTCAGACAATTGTATTGTAGACCTATGATACACCTTCCTCCTATCTAATAGAGGTCCAAATCAGTAAACCATTCTGGTGCTCCTATATAGGGACAGCGAGTGTTGTCACCCTAGGACAGGAAGTGTGTTAATGGCAGGATCCCCAGGAGGAAATGAGCCTGGAGAGAAAAAAATGTGTTCTCTGATTTAGATACTTTAAGGTTCTTCTAGGGGGAGATCAGATGATTGTCTATATAGGTAACTGGATGGTCCTGTGTCTGTTTTCTGACCATCTACTGCAGCAAGCCCTATTTTTTTTTTTTTTTTTT